TGAGGGAGAAGGGGAGGGGCAAAGCCCCCCCCCACCCCAGGCTCCAGGCCTCAGGACCATAGCAGGAGCAGAGGGTAGGCCATGCAGAAGTCCAACCACCATGCTTCATGCCAGAAACAAGCCAGGAGCTCGACTAGGCACAGACCCCCAACTGCAAAGAGCAAGGTGGCCCAGCACCCACCCACACACCCCTCTTCACACTCACCTAGGATTGCAGTTAGCCCCAGGTTAGGTTGGTCCTGCTCACACCCAGCTTAGGATGGGGACAGAGACCAGTTCAGAAAGGGGAGTGGGGACAAGGACCAGATCAGGCCTGTCCCATGAGGACTCTGTCTGGGGCCTAGAATTAGAGACCTTCATCTCTGCAGCACCACCTCTAGTGCAGGCCCTGGCCTGGCTTCCCCAGAACCCTTCACTGGCACAGCTTGACCCCACTCTGTATAGACACCTGAAGCAACCTGAAAGAGTCCCTGAGAGCCATAATCCTTTCCCAACCAAATCCAACTGCACATCATCCATCACCCTCTCCTATCATGCTGCAGCCTCACTCCACCAACCCACCCTGCAAGGCCCAGGAACAAAGCATCACTTCCAATTCCTCCACCCTTCCCTGTCCCATAGCCTTGAACAAAACCCCCAATTGAAAAGGCTGGAGGTCAGATGCACAGTGAAGCACAGCCTGCTCCCAACCCCATTGGAGCAGGACTCCTGGTCTCCACCAAAAAAGTGTGGGAAGGTCTAGGCAGTCGCCCCTAGTGTGCAGATAGACAGGAGGCCCAAAGGGATGGGCAGGATGAAGAGGTCAGTGCCCTCACGAGTCCTCAGGCCCAGGTTCAGGAGAAATGAAGGGTAGAGGCCAGCTTGGACCTCACATCTGCCAAGGACAGCTCAGGTGCACCTCCTAGACCCAGGCCCCAGAACACCAGGCCCTGTGCCCCCAACACCCTGGCCAGTCACTACACCCTCTGCCCACCAGTCCTTCCACCCCCAACTACACCATGGCTCTCAGGGATCTTGGCCTCATGCTGGACAGGCAATGGGGGAGAGGGGCTTTAGCAAAGCCTAAACTAGGGCTCCAGAACCTGTCTCGGGAGGACAGCCAGGCCCAGTACTGTTGAGGCCCCATCTCAGCTTTCCTAAGCCTTCAGAAGCAAGGTCAGCCCCAGACCCACCTCAGTTTTTCCCATAACTGCCACAGGGCCCATGTTCCTCCATGCCAGCATACACAGCCCGAGCCTCTGGCACCTACAGTACACCCACCAGGACCAACCTGCCTCAAAGGAAGTAGATCTGGGAACAGGGTCTTGCCCTGGGCATTGCTCCTGGACTCAGAAGGTGGGCTGCCAGGTAGATGCAGTCTGCTTTGGGAGGTTGCATCTTCTCTCCTGGCAGTCCTTTACAAGCCTGGCCCTGGCTGTCCAGGTCACAGACAACTGCTAACCTCCCTGTTCTCCCCTCAGCCGGACAGCTTCCCTGAACCCACCACTTATCAGGACTCAAAGGAAAACTTGTACTCATCTCCAAACCCTCCACCAGCCACCTGCCATACCCATAGAGTGCTCACAAACGTGGCCTACACCATGCTAGCCACACACCAGGCACTAGGGCCAACCCAGGGTAACAACCCAGGACGATGGGGCCATCTAGAGTGGGGTCAGAAAAGGAGGAACAGCTCCTCCCACATGGACAGCCTGCTGGGTCCATCCACTCAAGGAGGCTGAGCCTGAAACAGACACAGAGCCACCAGTCATAGACAGCACCAAGAAAGGGGCATGTGGAAAACCTAGACTTCCATACTGTCCTGTTTTTCTATTTGGCCCTCTTCATAATCACTACTCCAAGGAGCCCAAGAGTCCCAACTGGATCTGGACACCTAAGCCCATACCTCAGTTCCCAGGAAGCCTGGAACATTGTCCTTGCTATCCCCAGTGGGAGCCAAGTACTCCAGTGGGTACCTGGATTCCGAAAGCGCCCAGCTCACAAGACAGAGCTGGGTTTGTGGCAAGCCAAAGCATCATGGCTGCAGGGCTGCTGCCGACAGAGCGGAAATACCAGGGTGCTGGCATCACCATGCCACCTCCTGGCAGCCAGGCTGCACAATAGGACGGGAGAAGAGAGACCAGAGCTGCCCCTCAAACATGCTGACAATCTTGGGCCTTGGTCTTCTACCAGGGCAGAAGCCTGCCCCCTCCTGGGGCATCTGAGGGAACCAGCTGGGAGCAGGAGGAAGGGAGATGGCCCCAAGAGCCGGCGCCCAGACACCAAGGAAGGCAAGGGCCTGCCCCATCCCGCCCCACACCGACCGGCCAGCCGGCAGGGCAAAGAGCCATGAGGGACACGCGTTGGCCCGCCACATTCCTCTAGGGCCTCCCTGCCCCCACACCCACTGCTGCCAACTCGAGCAGAAAACACATCCTCAGGTAGCGATTTGGAGCCGCGCTGGCTCAGGCCCAAGTACAGATGACAGGCTGTGGGCCCTGCTCAGACCTGCCTGCTGGCTGCTGTGGGGGCGTGGGGGCTGGGCTGATCTAACTGTCCAGGGCCTCTCCCAGGCCTACCCCTGCCTTTCCCATCTTAGGGACACACTTCCCATCCTGAGGCCACAGATTCCAGGATACTCAGCAGGGCACTTGGGTAGAGGATGGCTGGAGGAGCTGGGGCAGCCTCCCTGTGTAGGTGGCAGCTTAGGAGGGGTGAAGACAAGACAAGAGCAGGGTGGCCTGCCCAGGTCTGGGAGAAGATGCAGACCGGGGCTCTGAGGCCAGGCAACAGAGCCCATGACGGCACAACCTTGGCCAGGCCTGGCTCCAACTCCTAATTGCTTCAGGACCAGGGCACCAAGAGGACACACTCTTGTGTGGGCCAACCAAAAGTATGCAGCCAGGAAGGCCCTTGGGTCATTGCCTGGCACCTCCTCCATCCACTCCCTAGGCCCACCCATCCCAGCTCCTCCTGACCTGTTTCTCCACTCTAGGGACCTACTTCCAGGACCCTACCCAATTCCAGGCATAAAGGTAGTGACCCAACAGCTAAGGACCTCTAAGTGCCAGGACCAGAAAGTGGACAAACATCAGAAGGCTTCCTCCCCAAGTTCTCTCCACTCCAATGCTCAGGCAGCTTCAGGCATGGGGCCTGTCTCCTCAGATGCTGGATCCCAACACCCCCTGGCTCCTCCATAACTAGACACCCCCAAAGGAGACAGGATACCCCCTGGGCCGAGCTTCCCACCGTCCAAAACGTAACAAGCAAAACAAAACACCCACAAACGACAGTGTCACAGAGAGTCATAGCACGGGGCACACTGTCTCTTTCCCTGAGGATCCCTCCAGCAGCAGGCGCTTCCGCCAACACACACACATTAGGCCCTCCCAGCTCAGGTCCCAGGCGCCCATCCGTGCCCCCGGGCATCCAGGAAACTGCAGGGCGGGCGCAGGCTGGCCTTGGGCCCGGGGCCGCTCCGCCAGAGCCTGCCCCAGACCGGCCCCAGCACGCGCGGCGCACATGCCTCTGCGGCCTGCCGGGCTCCGATCGCCTCGCGCCTCCCCACCCAGACAGACACGCGCAAGGGCAACGCAGGCACACGCCGAGGGCCGCCGCGCACGCGGGCCGCAGCCACCCCGCCCCAACGCGACCCCGCGCCTGAGCCCGTCGGTCCCGCGGCCCTCGCGCGCCCACGTGGCCAGGCGCGAACCGGGTCGCAGAGCACGCGCCCCGGGCCCGCCCGCCCGCCGCGCGGCGCCCCCTGCCGGCCCCGCCCCGTCTGGGCGCGCCCGGCCCGCATCGGCCGGGCCGCAGGTGCTGGAGGGGCGGCGGCGGGAGCCAAGACGCGGAGGGGGAGAGCTGGTGTGCGGGGGAGGGGCGCACGTACCGGCCAGGCGAACTGGAAAGGAATGACAACGAGGCCCGGATCCTGGTCGCCGCCAGCCCGGGACCGCGCGCGCGCTCGGTCTCCCGCAGCGCCCGCCGGCGGCAGGTAGAAGGAGTTGCCGCCCAGCACGGGCGTGGCGCCGTGGCCGTAGCTGCAGGGCCCCGTGGGCGTCACCTTGGCCTGGTACTCCTTAAGGCACACGCGCACGTACGTGTCGCACTCGTCGTGGCCGCAGCCCCCCGCGCGCGTCGTCCGGCCGTCGCCGTCACAGCAGGCGCCGTTCAGCAGCTCCCCGTTCACGTTCCGCAGCGCGCTCAGCTGCAGCTCGAAATAGCCCATGGGCCGCGCCGCCTAAAAATAAGGCAGCGGGAGAGCGGAGGGAGGCGCGGGCCGGGGTCGGCGTGCCGGGCGCTCGGTGGCTGAGCTCCGCCGCCCCGCCCCCACCCCGCAGCCCCGAGGGCTTCGGACCGCGGCCGCCGCGGAGCCGACCCGGCCCCGAGGGGCGGCCCGGTACGCCCCGTCCGCGCTTCTCGCCGCCACCGCGCGCCCCGCTCACCTGCACCCACAGCGCCAGCAGCAGCAGCAGCAGCCGCCGAGGCAGGCGCCCCGGCCCCGCGCCCGCATCGCCGCCTCGACCCCGCCCGCGGCCCCGCCGCCGCCGCCGCCGCCGCCGCGCCCGCTCCGGCCGCCGCGCCGGCCTCCAGTGCCCGCCCGCCCTCCGAGCCCGGCGGCGCACAGGCGGCAGCACAGGCGGCGCGGGCGGGGTCGAGCGCAGCGCGCGCGGGCTGCGCGGCGGGCGTGCAGGGGCGGCGGCGGCTCCGGCTGGCTGCGGCCGCGCTCCGGCGGCCGGCCCGGTTCCCACCCGGCGGCGGCGGCGGCGGCGGGTCCCGGCCTCGGCTCTGCGCGCTCGCGCTCCCGGCACCGCAGCCAACAAGTTCGGGACGAGACTGACAGCTCGCTCGCCCATTCGTCACCCGCGCACCTGCATATGCATGAGGGGGCGGGGCCTGATCGTGGGGTGGGGCCGGGGGGGTTCCGGGGGCGTCCCGGGCTTTAAAGGCGGCGAGGGTGCGGCCTGCGCGCGGGGCTACCGGGCTACGCCTTTACTTCTGTCCTGGCCAGGCAAGGTGGGGCCTCTCCTGCTCCCGAGTTCTTGTTGGGGTTAGGAGCTTGGGAGTGGGGCGCCCCCTGAGGTCACTGCTGTGGTTCCCCTCCCATCAATACACCGCGCCGCCACTCTGCTCCAGGTCTCAAAGGAGATGCCGCCTGCTGCGCACATCAGGGCTCTGCCCCCAAGCGGGCAGAGCGCGGCCCCTGCTGCGGGCCCCCTTCCCTGGGGAATTTTACCCCACTTCGCAGCATTCCTGCCGACTCCACGCCGGCTGCAGGGGGCGCTACTCCCTTCTGACGCCCGGCCCTCCCCTCCGCGAGGCGCGATGCTTCCGCAGCCAGTCAACAAATGCTCCTCGGTACAGGCTGTGTGCCCATCTCAGCGCGGGGGTCGCCAGGCCATGCTCTCAAGGAACGCCCAGACCAGAGGTTCAGGTTTGGGGGGGGAAGAGGGGTGGGAAACGGGGATAAAGATCAGTGGTGAACATCCAGAGGTCACCCAAAGAAGATCGCTCTGCTTCCTTGGAATGCTAGGCCCGCACGTCCCACCCCTCTGCTATCACCTCCTCTCCCTGTCTCTAGCTATCCTGTGTGATCTTCCTCCACAGGTCAATACCAAGGACTCCTTATCTCCAGACTGTCTCTTCTCCACCAAGCAATGCCTCTTCCAGGGCTGGTGCTCACCTTGGTTGATGGACATCCCCAGGCCGACCAAGGGTTACCTGACCCATCCCCAACAATAGCTTGGCTGTCCTCTCCCCTGGCTCTTCTCAAGTCTATTTGGGCCTTGGGCACGGTGTTAGCAGTGCAGCTCCTTGCCTGGACTAAGCCATTGCTCTTTGCAGGGCCTCCTGGAAACACACGTTCCAGCCAGATTCATGGCAGCAGAAAGAAGGCAGCCACAGGAGTGCAGCCCTCCCTCACTGGGCCATGCCTGGCAGCCTGCAAGAAACCAAGCCCTGGGAATGCACCCACACCTGGCTAACCTGCCCTGCCCTGTCTAGCAGCCCTCCCGGATCCTGGTCTCCAGGAGCAGGGGCCTGCAGGGGTGGGTGGGCCAGAGTCCCCCCCATGCCTGCTGCTGCTAGCTCTGCTCGCTCAGCATCCACCCCCACCTGAATCCCTCAGGAACCTGCAGGCAGTAGGCTGAATGGGGGACCAGACACAAGCCAGGCCTGGCCACACACAGAGACCCCCGCCAAATAAGGGAATTGAAGCTACATTCAGTGCCTTCCTGTTGCTTTCTTTCTGTAAGAGAAGGTTCCCTCTGTCCTCTCCTTTGCTCTGGCCTAGAGAGGGGGAGGTCTTAAAAACAGAGAGGAGCACCCCAGTCCCATGCTTGCTCAAGCCACTGCCCCACTATCCAGGGAGACCCAGAGTGTCTTTGCCAAGCACTCAGCCAAGCTGTGAACAAGGCAATCACAGCCTCTGTCCATCCTCAAGGACCTCTCTGTTAAGTGTTGGACAGTGACTCAAATAAAGTAAGTCAACCAACCATAAAACCAATGGCAGATGAGACCAGGTGAGGGCCCTGCTGAGACCTGATTATGGGCAAGGACCAGCCAGATGAGGAGGGGGAACTGGGATCCTGGGGCTGAAGGAACCTGATCTGGCAAGGGCCTGTGAGGAAGACAGGGTGGCCAAGCCAGGCCAGTGGCAAGACTGAAGTCTTCCTGCCGAGATCAACGGGAAGTAACAGTAGCTGGGCTGGGCCACACAGTGACTTACATTTTCACCAAGATCCCTGCTTGCAGGCAGGGGAGGAGTGCAGGGACAAGGTCAGGACACTGCCATAATGCAGGTGAGAGGGACTGGTGGCCAGGCCAGTGCCTGGCAGTGCAGGGACTGAGGAGGAATTCCAGCATAGGATGGAACCTAGGGGACAATCCCCCAGCCCCTCCCTCATCCATCTCCCTCGCTTCCTGCTGTCGGCTAGCTGTGGGAGGCTGGGAGGACCAGGCAGCTGGCCTGCTCCTGGCAGCACAGCTGTGTGCTGACACGGGGCTCCTATGTGGCTGCGTTCAGTCCAGGCACCCCCTGCTCAGAGCTGTCAGTGTGACCAGCCCAGTGAGGGATGCTCACTCCAGTCCAAGACACAAGCTCACCATGTAGGGACACAGCCTCCATGGGCACAGCCTGCCTGCTAGCCTGCCCTGCAAAGTGGGTGGATCCTGGTCTGGCTCCTGCTGCTTCCCTTAGGCCCTTTAGGTGTGAGACATGGGTCGCCATGACCAGGGCAGCTGGTGCGCGTCACGGCAGTACTAGGGGCCAGTCCCTGTCTCCCAACACAGGATGGCACCTGCCTGGCACAGATACCCTCCCCCTTGTGGTAACCACCTCCTCCTGCCTCCTAGGAGCCACAACCTGGACCTGATGGTATCCGGGAGAGGTGTGAGGTGTGTAAGGTGGCCACACCTCCCCTTGGGGAGGAGCTGAGCACTGAAGAGAGGCGCCCACCCACCCAAGGGTTTCCTCTGTGGCCCTTGGGCCAGAATTGCCAGGGGTAGCTGGACCCAGGGTGGATTCCCAGAATATAACCATGGGAACTGTTGACGCACACACAGACTTCAAATGATGCATTTGCCTCTCTGTATTACACTGAGTATGTCAAGGGGCTGGATACCCCTAGCTCTACCCTTGCTGGGCCTTGCTTCCCTACCTCTTCCAAGAAGGCCTCCATCATTCTTCTGAGGCTCATTATGCCATAACACTGCTCAGTCTCCTGTCTCCACCTGCCCTCAGCATGTGGGGCCCCTCTCCAAGATCCCTAGCACCAGGGGCCTGGTTGTGCTCTGAGTGGGTGCTCAGCTTGTGCTAGACAAGCACAGAGCAGGGACTACGAGCTTTAGGTTCTGGAGGGTACTCCTTGGGAACCAGGCTGGGGACCAGGCAGCCCAGAGTTTGGACAGAGCTGGCTGAGCTTGGGAGTGAGCTGTGCTTCCGCCCGTGTCCTGCAGTGCTAAATATAGCGGCCAGGGAGGGGAGTTTCCGGTTACAGCCCCCCCCCTCCATGCCAGGAAATCGATGCCAGCTCCATTAGGCCCAGCAGTGGTGCCTCCTGACCTGCCCATCAGGCTGCAGAGCAGAGCAAGGGTGCTGGACTGCACCCAGGTCTAGGTACCCTGTCTCACCCGCCTCGCACCCAGAGTCCTCTCCAGGGAGCTTCAGAGCCAACTGCCCCACCCACCCAGTGCCCACCAGAGGCCCCTCCAAGGCAGGAAGAAGAACCTGCAGGTCAACCTATAGGGGCTTTGGGGCTCCTGTGGTGGGCATCAGGCAGGCTGTACATAAGGGAGGAAGGGCAGGGATAGTGGGGACTGGGTAGGACTCCCATCTTGGGACTCTTGTCTAGGGAATGTCCTGCTGGGCCTCCTCTGGGGTAGGGGGTAAAGGGGTAAGGCTGGAACTGACCAGGCCCTCACTGCAGTCTGCCCCTCAGATACATGCCACACCTCATTGTACCTCCCTGGCAGCCATGTCACTCACCTGGCTGGGGCCCCACCTGGGTCACAAACTGTATTTGCATATAGGTGGTGCAGTGCTGCCTAAGTGGGCCCTGCAGCTCAGCCTCCTCAGAGTAGCCTTAATGCCAGGGCTACTCAGGGACATCCAGCACTATGCTGCAGGTGTCCTCTGGGCTGTTCCTAGGGCAAGCAGGAGGGGTGGCTTGGGGAGGCATGGCAGAGTGTGGAGCTCAGAGAGGGCAGAAGGGTGCCCCCACTCCGCCCTAGCATGCCCTACCTCAGTGTCCATCATTTGGACTCCATCATCTCTGATTGGGCCTGGTCCAAGGGGACACTGTGACACAGAACATGGAGTCAGCTTGCAAAAGAGTTCCTGATCACTCCAGCTCCCCTGTCCCCACCTGCCTGTGGAGCAGCACTCCTGGACACTGTGCCCTCCTTAGGATAGTGGGCTGTCACTCAAGGAGTTGAGGATTTGGGACTCTGGGGAAGGACTAGGCCAGGGCATCATCCTCAGAAAGGATCAGGTCTGACCTCACTTAGGAAACTACCTCAGCCCTCAATCTGGACTCCCTCCGAGGCAGATCATGAAGCAGTACCCTCAAAAGCCAGTTCTAGTGCCCCTGTCACATGTGGACCTGACTACAGGCCTGTGGCCCACACACTTGGACAGGTAGTGGCATGTCCTTGTGCCACTTGTAGGTACTCTGGGAACCTGGAGGATGGCTATGAACTGCACGCATCTCACATAGTCCCATCCTTAAGCCAGAGGGCAAGGCCAGGGCTCTGCAGGGTTTGCAGGCCACACCCCACACAGCTAGCAGTCTCTGTGCTGCATGCTGGGCCAGGCTGAGACAGTTCTGCAAAGGGCCCAGGTCACCCATCCCAAGGAAACTAATGCACTGTGTGCCTGTGGTGGTCAGGCTTGCAGACATTTCTCATGCCCTGCAGGCAGAGGGATATCCCCTGCAGCCTTCCCAGCCCAGGGTCATGTAGGGGACGCTGAAGTTACCAGACATAGGGAAGCCCTGGCTCCAGGTTCCTGGTGGTGTGGGGGATCTAGCCCAGCCCTAGGCAGAGCAGGATTCCTGCACCTGCCCAGGAGCAGGAAGCACATTCCCTGGGATGGACAGTTGCAGCGCTGTCCCCCTCCTCTCAGTCCCCACACCCGTGGATGTAGCTTCTGCTGTGGCATAGTCACCTGCAGGCCCAATCCCAGGCCTGCCAAGTAGGTCTCCCTGAGAATCCAGCCTTGTCAAGCCCTGGCCTCCCTTCTCCTTGCCCAGAGGAGATAGTGCTGGGCCCTCGTCTGCTCCAGCTGCCCCTTGTCTCCAGTCCTCTACCAGCCTTCTCCTTGCCAGAGCGACCACCTACCTGTGTGACCTGTGGGGGGGAGTTGAGGGCTCTCATGGAGAGCCACCATCCCCATCTTTGGGAAGACTCATTGTTTCCTACCCCAGATCACAGAGCTCAGAGCCAGTGGCGATGTGCTACAGCTATACAAGCTTTATTGGTTCTGCAGGATAGAGGGAAGTGGACAAGACAGGGCTTTGTCCAGACCCTGGTGTCTCAATGGAGATCCAGGCAGGGGGCCACCTGGCTGAAGAACCAAGAGATAGCAAAGATAACCCCGAGGGTCTTGGGGACATCTGAGTTATCTGCGAAGGCCTGGGCACCATCTAGGGGCAAGGTGCACGACTTCAATTAGCTCACCCTCCTCCGCCAGGCCCCCACCTGTCCCACTGCGCTGGGCATCCGTCACCTCGGCGTAAAACATAGTCTGGCTGGAGCCGGTCAGTCCCACTCCAGACCTATAGAATGAAACAGGGCTCACTAAGACACCAGGTGCTCCTGCCAGCCACTCTGTCCCCTCCACTTCACCCCTTCCAGCCCTCTGGTGAGCAGGACTTTGAGTACCCCTATTCCTTCCAACTCCCACCCATGGTGGGCAGGTCTGTGTAATCTGCTCCCCTGGACACATATGAAGACATGCCTTTTATGACTAGGCTATGTCACATGGCAGAGGTAGGGACTTGTATATATGACTCAAGACCCTACTCAACTATTTGACATCATTCTAAGGGAGTCATCCTGGGTGGGCCTGGCCTAATCAAGGGAGCTCATAAGAGAGGGTTTAAGGCCAGAGATGGAGGAAGTCAGTAAGATGCTGTCCATTGGCCTGGAGGATGAAGCAACCTGCTGTTGTAAGGCAACACATGGCAGGGGCCTACAGAGGCTGAGAGTGGTGCCTGGCCAGCAGCCAACAAGGACAGGGCCTTCTGTCCTGTGACCACAGGAGCTGAATTCTGCTACAATCATGTGAGCTGGGAAGAGGACCCTGCACCTTGGTGGCTCTTGGGTCTGGCTGACAGCCCTGACTGCAGCCTAGTGTGAGACCTTGAGGACATGATCAAGCCCCAGGACACAGACTTCAGACCCTCAGAAACCATGAGGTCATAAAGTTGCCTGAAGCCACTAAATCAGGCTATATAGACAGCTGCCTCATGCAAGGCCCTGCCGCTGGCTCCTGGTGGGCACCCAGCCAGGGCCTCTTCCCCAACACACAGTCCCCTCCTTCCATTGCTGCTAAGGCTCATGCAGGCCCCCGCCTATACCCAGTAGTCTGGAAAGGAGGGCAAAGGTTGAGCCTGTGAGGGTGCCCTTAGGCATCTATGGGATGAGTGAAGCAGGCAGTGGCCTAGACTGGCATAGGCAGGGGCAAGAGTGGGGTGGCAGGACCCAGGCTGGATTCTGAAACAGGAGGGAGGAGCAGGCACGGATGTGGACCAAGCAGAGTCTAAGGAGGTGTTGGGGCAAAGAGCTGAGTTAAAGTGTTGGGTGGCATGAGCTGAGGCCAGCCAGAGGCCTAAGGGTGAGGGGTACCCTTAGAGACATGCCCAGCATAAGTAGACAGGAGCAGAAATGGGGGCACACCTAAGACCTCCCACCCCCCAGAAGGGGACCACCCATATCAACCTTCCCCAACTGCTTCCTTGTCCTTCCACCCTTCATCTCAACAGATCTCTTCCAGATGCCCCATTTCCACCAGCAGTCAGTCCGGGATCCCCAGCCTCATTTTCCCCATCCCATGGAATCAAGAAGCTTCCGATCTCATTCATTCATATCCTTAGCTATTCCCTTGGTTTTGCTGGACCTTGTCATCTATGACTGGCAGGTGAGTGCCCATGGACAGGGAGTCACTGACTCTGCCACAGGGCAGAGTCATAGGGCAGTTGTTCTGACCTTCACTCAGCCTCACCTCAATTCCTGCCTCCTCCCAGCTATATCCTCTTTTCCAAGGTACAAGTCTGAGTGGGATGTTCACTATCTAGAACTCTCCTTGACTCCCCAGTACCTTCAGAGGCAGCCCATAGCCCAGAGGTCCTGCCTACGGACCCACTGCAACCAGGACTGCTTGCCTTTGAACTTCTGCCAGGACCCTGCCCAGGCTCACTTCCTCCAGGAGGACCCCAAACCTTCCCAGCACTTCCCTCATGCCTTTCATCCTTGCCTGCACCACTGGTGAGACCCTTAAGCATGGCCAGACCTCTTAGATTCTCCTTGCCCCAAGACTGCTGGCCGGGGAGGTGAGAGGAACAGTGAACACTGGCTGGCCACATGGAGAACACCTTCAGATAGCTCAGCTCTGTCCTTCACAGGCAAGACATCCAACACTTTGCCATGGAAATCCTACCTTCAACTTGGGCCAGCTCCGGGGGGCGTGGGCAGGAGGGCTAGGGCCCAGCACTGAGTGGCATGAGCTAGGCTGGAGGTGGCAAAGACCCCAGGCTTCCTCCTCCAGGTGGGAGTGGACCTGGACCTCTAGGAAAGGTAGCCAGGGCTGGTGCCCACCAGCTTGATTGGGGCAGCAGGTATTATAAGACTCTCTTCTTGCCCTGGAGCTCAGCTAGGCTCAGGGGCTCATGGCAGCATCGCCGGGGAGAGGGTGGTCATACCCCAGTATCTTGTTCTGGGAAGGCTGACCAGCCATTAGGCCTCATAGAGGCATGAGTGGAGGGTACCTGGGCTCTGGCGGGGGCCGGAGCTTCCCTGGGCCTGGACGTAGGCTTTTCTCATTCCTGAGCCACAGTCTGAGAACAGGGCTGTGACTCACCCCACCCCCAGCGCCTGGTGCTTAATCCCACAGGAAGTGGGGCATCTGTCGGCAGCAGCTGCCACTCGAGCCTGGCCCCACATGGCTGGGGCTGCAGGGTGGGGGCACAGGCCACGCATGCCCCAGAAGGAGCCCAAGATCCTGGGTTCCGGCCTGGCTTAGCACCTGAGGTATGTTCATCCCAACCCTCCTAAAGTCACTGGTTGAAAGACAAGGAGGAATCTGCCTTGCTTGCATACACTGCAAACGGGGCGCTCATCCTCTCCCTAGTAGCCTATCCTATCCCCTAGACCACACTGATAGCAGCCCACCCTGCACCCTGCCTAACCCCTTACCTGTATGTGGCAACCTGGCGCAGGTCAGAGGGGACCAGGCGGTAGCCACACTCCTCCCAAGCCTCCTTGCAGGCCACTTCCTCCAGCGAGAGCCCAGGCTGATCCACAAGGCCAGCGCACAGCTCCACTGTCACCCCCACTGAACCAGGCAGTGCTGGCTGCAGCTCCCGGGGCTGGTCCTGATCCACGGCTGCCAGGGACCCTGGGAAGTGGCACTCCATTTCGCCTGCATACACAGCTGGTTAGAGGAACAGTCACATGGTGGTTACTTGCAAGTGACCCACTCTGAGTTAGACCCTTTGCCAGGCCTCAGTTTCCCCTGAAGCCACCTCTGCAACCTGCATTCAGACCCTCAGGACCCCACCCCAGCCCTGCCCACCCACCAGCCTCACCTGGCCGGAACTGCTTCACAAACACCAGGCTCCTTCGAGAAGAGTTGAACATGAGAATGCTCACGCTGCGTGTGGGTTACAGAGTTAGCACAGAAGCATGCCCCTCCCTGTGGTCCTGGCTCCCGTCCTTCTGTTCCCAGCATGCCTCCTGTTCCCCAGCAGCCCAGGAACACCAGTCCATTTGCGTTCTGGACCAGCATCTACCAGGATCACACTGGATCCAGATATGCTGTAGTTCAGTGGCAGGAGAGGGGACAGGGGGAGGACATGCTGGGCAGCTGGGCAGGTCAGTATGGTGGCCTCTGCCACCATAACTGAGTAACTGACAGGACATTTGGCCCCTGCTGACCAGCTGTGCACCATCCAAACCTCTTGAGCTATGTTGTCATCTAGCCCACACCCAGTACTGGGAAAACAAGGGCACCATGATGGCCTCTCTATCTCTGGGAGGGCCTGCCTGCCACCAGGGTCCTAAACCAGGGCTTGACTCAGCCATCGGGCCTCCAGCTGACCCCTCAGGGACAGGAGAACCAGAGGCCAGGCTGAGGAGGGTGTTTAAATACCACTGAGGGGATAGAGGCGTGGCTCAAGTGGTAGACTGATTGCCTAGCAAGCACAAGGCCCTGTGTTCAATCCCCAGTACTGCAAAAATAAGTAAGCAAACAAACAAGCTAAATATCATAAAAGCAGTAGAAACTGCATCCCTCTGGGCCCCACTTGTCCCCATGGGTTTCAGTCCAAGACTCCCCCAGTGCCAGGCCTGGCCCTCACCTGTCATATGTCTTCATGAAGTCCCAGGACTTCTGGGTACCATTCTGAAAGAGGCAGAGCAGTGGTCAGGAAGGCTGAGCAGCTTTCAGTGTGGGTAGAGGTGCTCTGGAAAGCTCAAGTATCCAGATAGATCCACTACACTGGCTGCAGCCAGGGAGACCTGCTCACAGTCTGGGCCCATTGAGCATGGGGACTGCAGTAGATGGGAGAGAAGGAAGCAACCTGGGCTGGGCAAAGAGGTCAAGGATAGCCTACCATGGAGGGTAGTGCAGAAAACCTGGGGAAAGTGCAAGAAAGGCATCCCATGAGCACAAGGGGCTACAAGATGTATGGTGTCATCAAATCTGGAAGAATCACAGAGGACATGAGAAGGGACAAGAATGACCTCACAGGTAGGGTAGAGACAGAGGAGAGGTCAGGTATCTACTGCTGAAACTCCCTTGGGCCACTAGGCAGAGGGAGACAGGAGGATAGACGGGGCCAACTAGCTTCCTGAGAGGCCATCCGCAGCAGGCTCACACTGAAGGACTCGATTCAGTGATGTGGCGGATGGTGAGACACCCATGCCCTACCTGGCCACTGGCTGAGGCCACCTCTCACACATCCCATGGTCCTGCTCTCCCAGAAAGTGGGACAGGCTCTCAGAATCTGAGCAGTGCTCAGTGGATGGAGAAGGTGGGGTGGGGTAGGGGCAGGCAGGGCCTACAGGGGAAGCCAGACTAACAACAACAGGGCTCTTCATTTGGAGTGTGTGAGAGGCCCAGAATCCTGGCAGCTAGATACCACTACACAAGGTGGGTTCCCACCCAAGGGCTAGAGTGGGCAGTAGCCATTCCTCCCGATGGTTCTATACTAATGAGGCTAGACTTGGACTCTGCCCACCCCATCCTGCTCAAGCCACCTTGCTCCTCATCTCTGGATCAGCCCTGAGCCCTGGCCAGTCCATGACAGATGCTGGGGCTCCATCCAGGCCATGAATGGGACACAGCCTGAGTCCCAGAGACACAGTGTGCAGCCATGCGTGGAGGAAGAAGATCGCTGAGGAACAGCCCCATGAGGACTTCCTGGATGAAGTACAGAAATGGGGAAGAGCATTCCCAGCAGGAGAGCCTCCCAGGCAGAGGCTCAGGGGCTCAGATAAAGGCAGAGTGCATCCTGCACAGGTAGCAGCAGCCAGGTTTCCAAGAAGAGTGAAGAGCTGATGTCCTGGGCAGGTCAGCTGCCTGGGAGGCTGTTGAGGCACCACCCCACAAGGCGAGCCCAGGCCTGCCCAACATCCAGCCATCCAGGGCCAGCCACCCACCCAGGCAGGCTTCAGGGATGCCCCCCACTCCTCCCCCCACCAGCCTGCCATGAGCCAGCCCTGCCTATCCCCACAGCCGCCCTCACAGTAAGTGTTGTCCTATGCAGGTCCCAAGACCCTCTGAGCTCAAGATCAAAAACTGTCAGACCCTTAGGTCTTCCCTTAGGAGAAGGTCCTGCGAAGCCCTAGGGGAGAGAGACAGACCTAGGTATAAGGCAGCCTCATCCTGCTCAGGGCCATACGGCTCCTTGCTTCTGGGAAGGGACAAGTTGATCCTGTCTGCCCACCAGGCCTCCCATAGCCTAGCACAGCAAACAAACAAGGTCTGCAGATGCCCCCCAGTGGCAAACACTCCCCAGCCTAGTGTCCCCTGGCACCTGAGGGAATGTGGCCCTGGCCTCCCAGCCCATGTCCACAGCCTGCTGCCTGCCTACTCAGCTCAGCTTACCAATGTCATCACTGGAAATGTGCTGGTCAGCTGCCCATCCATCAAGGTTACAAAAGCCCTACACACACACACACACACACACACACAGAGAGAGAGAGAGAGAGAGAGAGACAGAGAGACAGAGAGAGAGAGAGAACTTCCCAGGAGTAGGGGAGAACACTGCAGCATGGACCATGGCAGCTATGTGCCTGGACCCTCTGTACCCACTGCCCTCCAGAGCCCTGGCCTCTTAGGGGCTGAACAGCCATAGCTGGGCATCACCATGTCTACCAACTTCCCTTCCCCAAGCCAGCAAAAGAGAATAGGACCCCCAAGTCCCCACCCTTTGCCTCTTGGCTGACCCCCAACTGCTCCCCCAGGCCAGTATTGGCCTTGGCTTCACCCTGGGGAGAGAAGATCCCTGTCTCTTAAGTCCAGTGCAACAGGAAACTTGAGGGCCCTGGAGCCTCTCCAGCTTGGGGTCAAGAAGCCTCCACAGGGCTGGGGAGGCATGGGCCTGGAGGTTATGGGGAGGGACAGGGTGCTCCTATGTGGGAAGGAGGGCAGACTGGCACCAAAGTCCTGGACTGGCTGACTTGGCTGAGGGCCAGAGAGGGGATGTACTGCCAGAGGCCAGGAAGATGGTGTTCACATGGACAGCATGGAGGAAGTAGCATCAGGGATGTTTTGGGAGTAGGTGGGGTGGGCTGGGGACACTTTCAGGAGGAGAGTGGCCAGGGCTCAAGAGCCACAGGTAAGGGAAGAGGGTCGCAGCAGCAACTCATCCACCCAACAAATATTTCTTGTGAACCTACTACGTGCCCAGAACCAGGTGAGGCAGTTACAGCTCTGCTGTTCTGGATGACCTCCAGGAAGGTGGAGGTGCCCTCCCTAGGAAGACCCCTAGGGGAGGAAGCCCACCTTAAGAGACTCCCTCTTCTGCCTCTTCCCTTCGGCCCTGGGATCTCCAGGCTCCTTCTTCCTCTGCCCAGATAGCTCCTCCTTCAAGTCTTAGCATGAAGGTCACCACCTTCAGGAAACCCTCCCTGATCCCCAGAAAAACCCAGTGGGTCCAACTGCAAAAAAAAAAGTATGGATAGGGCTGGCAGGAAGGCCCAGGACAAGGCCCAGCAAAACTCCCGTGAAAGGAAGAGTGATCTTCCACCCATGTCCCTGCCCCGTCCAGGCCTGGGGTTCACCCTGTCTGCGAACCTGCAGCCAGGCAAGCAAGAGGCCCGCCTTACCTAGACTAGGCAAGCGAACAGAGCTTGGGAGCGGGAGCGGGGGCGGGGGCGGGGGCGGGGGCGGGGGCGGGAGCGGGGCGGGGACGGGGCGGAGGCTCGGGGGGCGGGGACGGGACGGGACGGGGCTCGGGGGGCGGGGCCGGCAACGCGGGGCACTGGCCCAGGCAAACGGCCTGGGTTTGCTGCGGGCGCTGTCGCTCACCTGGCGGTAGTGCAGCGTGAGGGGCCGCAAATAGGGTGAGCTGGCGCAGCGGCCCACCGCCACCCCCTCGATGCGGTCCATGGCGGTGCGGAGCACAGTCCTCGCGGGTCAGGAACTGGCAGGCCCGTGACCGAGGCTCTGGGCATGCCCAGTGCGCGCGCGGGGCGGGCCGCGGCGAGGCAGGGGCGGGGCGGGCCGCGATGCCCAAGCAGCACCTGTCTTGCGAGTGCCGCGCGCAGGTGAGGCGCTGATCGCCTTGGCGCAGGAGCCGCGCAGGGAGGTGGGCGTAGCGCGGAACGGCGTGAGCAGAGGACGGGTTCACCAGGCCGGCTGAGGCTGCCGGGTAGGGGCGGCTGGGCCAGGGCGCGGCTCTTGGGTAGAACGCGGGACCTCTTGGTTGGGGGAGGGAGGGCTTCGTGGTGCAAGGAACCCTGTGAGGGGCTTGAGCTCCAAGCAGATGCCTGCCCGCCTGGAGTTGGTGACAACCCCACGATTAGGTCTTACGTAGGGCGGAAAGGGGTCTCCAGGGCAGGAGACCTGGCCCTCCCCCACCCAGATCCTAGGTGACTAGGGTGCGTGCAGCATGGGAGAGTGCACACATGTTTCAGAGCCAGTCAGAAGGAAGTCTCTGGAAGGAACAGAGGGGAAGGGCCCAGGTCCAGATAGTGCCTACCCTATCTCCTTCAGGTTCCCTTAGCAAGGTGCTGACCTGAGCTGAACAGCCCACCCGTGGTGTGAGAGGAACTTCCTATCTCTGGGCTGTCCCTCTACACAGCAGCAGCTGCTGACCTACCCCTCTCTGCCCATTACATCCAATCAGGTGGTGACTTGGATTGGGGTGTCACATAGTAACATTCCCACTGCATGCCATAGGTCAGAAAGTCCTGGGCCACTAGATTCAAAGGGAGGAGATCACAATGTGGGATGGATGGTTCAGAGTATCGTGAGACTAGCTATCCCCCATAACTCTGTATGGGACTGTGTTTCCCAGCTTTGGCCTGGTCATAGTGTCTGTCCTAGAGCCAGGGTGACCACCCACTAAGAGACTCCAGAAACTGGCCCCATCCCACTCAGTGGCCATGTAGGTCTCTTCCTCCTATACCTAGGGGGCCACCTGTGAGCCTCTTCTTCCCATGCAGGATACTGCCTGGGGTATGAGGACCAATCACAGAGCTCCTAACAGCAGCACCAGCAAAAGTGGAACAGCATCAGGTAAAAGTGGGAACCAGCGTGCATTGCCTCACTGGCTGGGAGCTGCTTGCTCCAGCCACCTGCTCTCAGCCTGCCCACCTGGGCCTGGCTGGCACAAGGAACATGTGGGAAGAGCCCACAGCTTCAAAAATCCTGTTTTCCCTCTGTTGAGGGACAGTAACATTTTCTTGTTAGCACAGGCTAAGATGGCTTGCTTCCCCACGGGTCAAGGCAGGGGGCTGCCCATGTGGGGAATAGGAAACCAGTCCAAGGGGTTTTGACCATTGTCCAGGGTGGTGGCTGTGCAAATGGGTAGCCTTGGTCCCCACAGGAGCAGTGCAGGAGGCTGGGTAGGGAAGGATGCTTGGAGATTGGGGCTCATGAAGAGGGGGACACTGGGGGACACCATGGGGCTATGGCCCAAGCCTCTGAAAAGCCACTTCTGGGCTTGGCAACATGGGGGCTTCAGAGACCCTGTTGAGCACATGTTCCAAACAGTACAACAGCGCATGTCGGTTCCTACAGCTGCTAGCTGTGAGCCAGACAAACTTCTGCAAACTCAGAGGCTTACAGCCTCCCAGCTCAGGAGGATGGGGCTCCAATATGAGCTCCCTGGGCCAGGGGCCAGGTGTCACAAGGCTGGTCCCTTCCAGAGCTCTGGATGTTTTTTCAGCATCCAGAGGTGCCTGCACTCTGGCACATGGCCCCTTCCTGACTTCAAAGCTGCAGCCTGGGTGCCCTGCTGTTTGACTCCTTCTCAACCCTGACACTGTGGTCACATTTAGAGCCCTGATGACCAGGATCACCCTCCCTCAGGTCCACAGTCAGTCACATCTGCAAAGACCCCTTCCTCTTTGCTGCCATCAGCAGGGCAGGGACCTGGGAGCTGCAGGACATGGAGGCATTTCCTGCTGGCTGGTCTTCCTTTTTCTGTAAGGAGAGCAAGACATGGTCACCTGCCTAGGATGAGATGGGAGGGGAGGAGGATGGTTCCCAGGGGACAAGATGGCCATCCAGGTGGCCTGGTGAGCAGTGCCTCTGGTGGCACCAGGCTGGAGGATGCTCTTGGACAGTGTCCAGTGGCTTGAGCAGGTAGAAGGGTGGACATTGGGTTCCTCTGGGGCTTTGCTTTTTCTAGTGTGGTGAGAGGCAGGCCATTGGGCTGGAGAGTTGAGGATACTGCCCAGGGAGCTACCTAAGTGAGAAGAGAGCAGTTGGGAGGACAGGAAGCAAGAGGTGGGAGACCACGTGACTCTGGGACATGCAGGCCTCTCACATCTGGGCACCTGGCGGGGCTGGGCCTGCTCTCAGTTCCGACTCTGAGGCCCAGCCCCAGTCCTCCTGGGTGCCAGGCATGTCAGAGCAGACATGCCTGGGCGAAGCAGCATCCTCAGACTCCCCAGTGCCATCCCTGTCCACACTGAAGACTCGATGGCTGATGCCCATGGGCACAGACACATCCCTTTCCACGCCCCAGAGGACCACTTCTCCACCCCCTGCATTAGAGCCAAGAGCATGTCTGCCTTAGCTTCAGGGCACATAGAAGACACATTTGCAATGCTGAGCACATCTGAGCATGCTCCTTACACCTCTCATATGCTAGGATGTGGGTGGGCTAGGTGTAGGTCCCTGGCTGGAAATCACTTCCCTCCAACACTGGTGGGCTGCTACCCCCTTTCTGAGACCTCTCATGGGGCCTAACATCTGTCTGCTTGGAGATTGTTCCACTTGTACTTGGAAAAAGCAGATATTCTCACTGGCGGAATCCTCCAAATGACTCACATCTTTGCTTAGAGATTGGAGATGAAGTACAAAGTGACTTCTGAAACTAGGAGAGGAGACAGCTGCCCCAAGTAGATGGGGGCCAAGGCGTGGTGAAGTTTTGTGTGTTCCTGTCTACTTAAGTGCATGTTTGAAATTTTTCCACAGCAGATTTTTTTTTTTTTTTGAGACAGGTCCTGCTATGTGGCACAGGCTGTCCTGGAACTGCATATCCTCCTGCCTCAGCCTCCCGAGTTGCTGGGCTCACAGGTGTGAGCCAGCTCACCTGGCTCAGAACAGATTTTCTAGAGCCTTGAGTGCCTGCAGAAGGGGTGAGGCCATCACCGTCATCCTGTGGACTCAGCCACTGCCTGAGCAGAAATGCACGGCTCTCTGCGAGAGGTAGTAACGAGCTATGACTGGATTCAGCATCAGTTAAGAGTGAAGGATGGGAGAACTGGGGGAGTTCCCCAGGCTCTCTGGTCTGAGCAGCTGGGAGGTGGCCACCCTACTGAGGGTGGGTGTGGTGTTTTGCTGTGAGAGTGGAGGTCAGCTTGGGGAACACTGGATGTCCACAGCAAAAGAATGAAGTTGGATCCTTGCTGGGCACCATACACAAAAATTAACTCAAAATGGATTAAAGCTCTAAACATAGGAGTCAAAACTCTTAGAAGAAAACATAGAGCGAAAACTTCATGACTTTTGATTCGCTGGCAGTTTCTTGGAATGATAAAGGCACACGCAGCCAAGGAAAAAATGGACAAATTGGACTCCATGAAAATTGAAAACTTTTGTGCATCAAAAGACTGAAGTGAGCCAGGCACTGGTGGCTCATGCCTATAATCCTAGTTACTCAGGAAGCAGACATCAGAAGGATCACAGTTCAAAGCCAGCCCAGGCAAAATAGTTTGTGAGACCCTATCTCAAAAAAGTCATAGAGATGGATGGTGATGGCTGCACAAAAATCTGAGTGTGCTAAATGAACTATACACTTAAAAATGGTCACAATGGTAAATATTTGTTTCTGTTTTTGTTTTTTTGAGACAAGGTCTCGCTGTGTATTAATTCATCCTCCTCCCTGGCCTCTTGAGTGCTGGGATTATAGGCTAGAATCACAGCCTGGCCTGTTTTTGGATATTGTGACACAGTAAAAGACCACATGGGAACTTTTACAATGGTTGACCTGGTTTTGGAGCCACCATCCCTGCTGCTTTAACTGTCCTGGCTAGCATTACTCTTTTAATTAATAACAACTTAAGATGCTTAAGACAATAAATGTTGTATTTTATGTATTTTATAACTGAAAAATTGGGAGAAGCTATGAAGTATCACTGGATATGCATGTGGCAAGGGGGATTTAGCAGTTGGGGGTGAGCAGGGAATTTGAGGATAGAGGGGTGGCAGGAGCTGCAAGGCTTGGGCTTTGGGGTGAGGAGGGCCACGGAGGAAAGCCATGAGGCAGGAGAGGTGTGAGGCCCCAACCACAGCCCAAGAGAGAGATGGGAAAGGTGTGCCACTACAGGGCGACCCAGGAGGGTGAATCCTGTTTCATTCCCCCCTCCCTTGCCAGAGCTCTTCCAGTGGGAGTCTTACACTTTAACTTCGGGGCGCACTCACGCTTCTTCTTCAGACTCCGTCTCCTGCCCTCTATCTAGTCTTCTCCAGAGGCAAGATAAGGGTGCTGAGCCTTCTCCACCAAGTCTGTAGCGGGGGGCATAGTGGCTGCCACCCTCGCTCCTCCCAGTGTGTTCTTTTGATGTGAGGGCCAGCTCTGATCTGCTCTTCAGTGACACCTCCCATGTCTGTCTTAAGTGGAGTCCTGGCTGCAGATGGGCCTGCCTCTGCCCTCATGGGCCACTGCTGTCTGACCCCTTTCAGGCCCTTCCTCCCTGGTCTATCTGTGGTGCAACCAGGGCAGCCACCTGTCCCCATGAGTTTATCTTCCTGCACCCCACTGTGGCTCTCTGCCCCTCAGGGGGGTTCCAGGAGCCAACTGTACTTGGGGCCAGGAACTGGGCACGGAGCACTTCATGTCCCAAGGCTGTGGATAGTTCTTACTTGGTCTTATTCCCTCCACTGGTCTCTCTTCTTCCTGTTGTTTCAGGGAAGTCTGGACACCAGCAGGGTCT